CAGACACTGCAAGGTTCGGGGTATCCCGTCTGTTGACCTTTGGGGGGGGGATTTATTGTGCACAAACCTCGCTCTCTATTCTTACTTCCAGGCACCAACCCACTTTCCAATCCCGTCAATTCTCTAGTGCGGGGAATGGGCGCAGTGGCTGACAGAGGTGGCGAGCTCGTCTACCCGTGCTCATACGCGACACAACAAGATTTCACTCTAAAGGAGGTGGGCGGCACAGATTTCAGGGGTGTGAGAGCGTCCTAGAGGCCACAATAAGAATGAGCCATTGCAGCCGGACTCTCAGACCACCAGTCGGCCGCTCCACACAAACACACTGGGCTGGCTGCGAGTCCTAATTTCAGTCCTGAGTTGGTAACCTTACAAGCCACGACGATTAGCTTACCGTGATAATTTCAGGCTCGGATCACAAATGCAGCTGAGGAGCCACACGGAGAAGGGGCCGAAATACACACTTTAAGCCTACATGCAAGGTGTCTTTTGCGGGCATGCTTTGTGTTATGTTGGGCTTAGTTGTGTGTGATGTAGGTGCTGTGATCAGAAGTGCTGTTGTGTGGTATAGACGGTGGTGTTCTACCGCAGTTTTTAATGGAAGTCCATGTAGCCCAATAGGCTCATGCGGTGAGTGAATGTGTGTGGACAGTGCAGACAGTTTAGGCGGGTGCAGTGGGTGTATTTTGGTGCTCTTGGCACTGCCTCGCCACCCTCTGTGCGATGGACTCGCATGTGACCGATCAGGCGGACGCGTGAGGCTAATATGCGTTCGCAATGAGGGCAGGTTGGGATCGCGTCTTCATTGCTGCTGATGGTGGAACCGGAAGTTTTGAAGTTAGGGGTTGACGAGGCGTCGGAAGTGGTCTTACTGGTGATGAGATTTGGAGAAGTGGTAGTCTTAGTGGCGGTCGTCGACGTGATCGGCCTGGTGTTGCGGCAAGAAGGATGGTGCTCTTGGTCGATGGTAGAGCGATACCAGGAGTGTGCTTACCGGCGATGGGAGTGGTCGTTGTCGTGCAGTTTGAGACAGGGATGCCAGTAGAGGGTGTTTGTGGATGTAACATTTAGGGCTGCATCGCATCCGAATGTACCCAGCGGTGCTGCACAAGACGGCGATATCTAAAGAAGACTGCTTTGTTGGCGTCAGCCCAGCGGTTCCTGTAGGATTTTTATAGTC